TGGGTGGTTTCTGCCCTGGATGGATTCTCAACAGACATGATGTGGCATGCAAGGCTAGAGCAGAGAGAATGAAAGTGACACACACAGGTGGTTCACCTTTCCTATTCTCTTTATAAATCGGTATGTGATACGTTACATACTGAGAGAAATGTGTGAGGTTTTGGCATTCAAGGATAAGATAGTTGTATCTGTTGTTGATATAGCAACAGATAGCAAAAGGCAAAGAAGCAAAATCATGAAAACTGGAGGCACTTGAAAGAGAGAAAAGACTTTTGTCACATTTGATTGGGGGATAAGAAGTAAATATCTCTTACTGATACTCTAAATAAATAAATACTCAATAGAATAACAGTAAAACTGAGTAGATTTTAATATACTCCAGTAAGAAATTGGTGGAACAAGCGGACAAAAATTAGGAAGGAGTTAAAGTATTTGAACAACCAAAATTAAAAGCCTGATATAAGAAGATTCTGCACCCAATAAATAGGAATGCGCTTAAAGGTATTTTTTAAAGCACAGAACCAACATTTAAAAAAACAAATGAATACAACATATTTCAAAGGGAGCGTCCAGAGACTATACATTCTTTTCAAAGTCACATGGAACATAAGGGTGTACAATTCTCAAATTTTATCACACAGATTAAGTTCTGAAACAACAATGAAATTAAATTAGAAATTAACACTAAAAGATGGAAAAGATATATTTGAAACAAACAAACATGCTCCAAAATAATTCATGGGTTAAAAAGGCAATAAATAATAAGAGAAACTATGAAATTGCTACAATGGAAGACTGTCAGAATACATTATGTCGGGATGTTTGATATTCAGCCCAAGTGGCACTATGAGGTAAGTTTATAGTCTTAAGTGCATTTATTAAATTTAGAGACAAGAGGATACGGTGGCATTGTCAGATCCAGGCTTGCTAAATTAGTGCTATTTCTTTAGGCGTCTTAACAAAATTCACCCACACCTTGTCTGTGACAATGGCACGTTCCTGAACTTTTATCTATGGATTGAGATTATGTGATGTGCTCACTACGTAAGTCGATAAAATATGGCTCTTACTTTCAAAAAACTTCCCTGCCTTTATTACTGTTAAATTGTAATGGCCAAGGTACAAACATCATAGATAAATGTTCCATTTTTTTTGTTATTAATGAAGTCATTTAATACTTTCAAGTCTACTGTCTTGTTTATTGTTTACGTCTTTTCCAGATAATTATGCAACTTCATTATTATAATCTCTGAAACATGCTATTAGATATCAAGGTCATCTGAGGTTCCAGCTATTACAGAGTTTCTTCTTGTTATGTTTATTATCTTCATATTTTCTGAAATAAAAATTAAAACTTGTAACATCTAGAAATAACATTTTAATTCATAAACATTTCATGACAATTTCTTAATAATATTCTTTCTTTATGGTGTTGTCTTTGACACCACCACCTTTTGAAATAGAGAAGATAACATTGCATTGGCAAAATATGCAATTCTTAAGAAGTATTAGATAATGCCAATTTTAATACTGTCATGGTGTTAAAATTATTGAGATTATATTTCCATTGGTGGGATGCTAGGGAAATCTGCATACGCAGATTATCATCACAACACTAACTGTTGCGGGTAATGTACAAATATTTAAAAACATTCTTTTTATTTTATCTTTATAATTTAAAATATAAGTAATTATAGAAAAGATTTAGGGTAACTTAAAGTGAAGCACATACAATAGTCCTTCAATAATAATACATGAAAGAAAGCCAGTAAATATAAAATGAGGACTGAAGAAACTTTACTGTGAGTTTAAGATGATATGCTTGTGACATTTCATATGAAATTAGTTTTTAATTTTTTGTTTAGTTAAAGGGGAAGAAAAACTTACAATGGACCAAAGGAATCATGACAGTTCTTTGGAAAATAATATATTTTTCTAGCCTCAAATTCTAAAAGAAAATCGTCACATGTATTTTTACTTAGAGAAACACAAAATTTTAAGTAACAGTTTTGAAGAAAATGCAAAAATGTCATAGAGTATATCATCCTTTAATGAAAGTCAAAGTCATCATCTTAAGTAATGATAATTCAGTTAAAACATTTTGATATGCTCTTGTTTGATACCATCTACATGCTCTTCCTCCATATCCTCCAACCAGGCTTGTTAGGTTAGCAACAACAACAACAAAACAAATGAGACAAGTACATACTGAAATTTAAAGCTAATTGGGTGTCCTTTTATCTGGCTACCCTGCTTCTAATACATTTAGCTGCCTGGCCCTACGCCCAGCGCACTGCAATAAAAGGAAAATCACTTTTCATGAAGGGTGAAAAATTAGCACATTATAGACAAACACTATTTGCTTGCTTATCAACTAACAGGAAAACTTTCCTTTAAATATTTTATTTAAATTCTCAGAAATTAACATCTTATTAATATGGAAATTTTTAGTTATTTCTAAAAGAATTGAAAAATATGTATTGCAGACACAGAACATGGAATAGTAAAAAACATTTCAATTAAATATCTAGAAAAATTTCAAAAAATTTTAAAAACTAAGAAAGTTCATCAATAGGAAGATATATTTCTTTTTTAATTAAATTATTATGTTTTAAACTATAAGTTAGATGAATAGAGCGAAATGAAATTACTTTTGTGCCTAATGAAACTATAGAAGATTTATCTTGCATTTGAAACTTTTATGATACTTACAATATGTAATTTAACTAATTAAGGAATACATTTTACATAAAACTTTTTTAGAAAGACATAAAGGAATGAATATTAAGAAAAGCATAGCAACTAAAGTTGAACATACATATAGCAAAAAAATTTAAAGTAATATAAAATTAACAAACATCTGATAACTGTGTATATATTTATATCAATTTTTATACCTACCATTTTATAACTGAAGACTTTAAGAAAATATGTTGTAGTCTCTTAAGAAAATTGACAGTCAAAACCCTGTGATGCCATTTTTTCCAAAGAATGACTCTGATAATTTTTAAAGAAGTTGTTAGAAATATGAAGCTCTTAATAATAGATATCCTGTTAAAAATTTTAAAAATAATTTCTATATAATTGCAATTGTCATAGTATTAAATTGCTATTGATTTTTGTCTGTTATGCTGTACTAAGTATAGAAAAGAAAAAAATCAAGATTATAACATCAAAATAAGAATGATTATGTGTACATTCTAGTTAATATGTCATGAACTTACAAAGGTGAGGTTAAAATATCTTATCTGGGGAAAAAAGTATAATGGGGTTGGGTTTGGTGGCTCAGTTTGTAATCCCAGCACTTTGGGAGGCTGAGGCGAGCATATTGCCTGAGCCTGTGGGTTCGAGACCAGCCTGGGAAACTTGGTGAGACCTCATCTCTACAATAAATAAAATAAATTAGCCAGGTGTGGTAGCACACTACTACCACACCCGGTTATTCGGAAGGCTGGGGTGGAAGGATCGCCAGAGCCCAGCCGGTTGACGCTGGAGTGGCCATGAGTGTGCCACAGCACTTTAGCCTGGGCAACAGAGTGAGACTCCAACTAAAAAAAAAAAAAAATGTATAATGGAAGAAAAGAAACCCATTATAATAGAACCAAGAAATAGAATGGTATAGACCAATTTTTTTCTGCATCATCTGCAGCTCAGTTTTATGTGTTCTGAGGGTGTGGATTTTTGTGTAAAGAATCACAACAGATACATGTTCATTATGCCAGACATTTCTTTGTCTTGTTTGGAGCTCACTTTTGTTCTTGGATTCCACCTTGCCTGATAGCCAGTGACTCACAAGGACTGAGTTCACAGTCTGTTCTAGGCCCAGTTCCAATGAGTGCAGTACAATACAAAAAGTAGAAAAATTATGAACTTCACAGCAACTTGGATGGACTTAGAGTCTATAATACTGAGCAATCTATCATAGATACAAAGAACTGAGTATCACATGCTCTCATACATAAGTGGACTTTGATCGATGATCGTAATACTATAAGAAAAGGTTTGACATTTGGCAGTAGTGGGAAACTGTAGGTGGACAGTGGGTGGGTGTGGGTTTGGCAGTAGTAGTGGGAATCTGCCGGGAGAGGGGGGTCCCACCTCATCCACAAGGGTACCTGCATAATGAATATTTGTATACCTAGCTCTGAATTGTACTCCACATCTTTAAAAGAAAAAAGAAAAAGAAAAAGCAGAACAGGCCAGGTTATGAATGATGGCAGAAATGTACATATGCACTTCTTACTCAGCTGACAAAGGTTTAAAGCAACCACTTATTTTGTCACGTGAGGACACTGAGGGTAGAGATGTCATTAGTGTTTCAGAGTTGGGAGAGACTGTAAGAACCATGTGCGTTAATCTCTTCAAAGGTTTTTTAAATAAAGAAAGCTCAGAGGTGGGTAAGGCCTTTCTCATTATTCCCCCCATGGCACCAGGCTAAAACCTAAGGTGCTTTGACTCTGAATTCTTTGTTTCTTCTATTCTACCAAGGAGCTATGTCAAGTATCTATAATATTGCTTCCAAAAATGGTGCAAAATTTACGAATGACTTAAAACCAAGCAATGCTGAATTTTTCTTCATCTGTCAAAACAGTGGTCTGAAATAAAAAATTTTGATACATTTAAATTAAATAACAGAGGCATTTTATTTTTGAAATATTCTATAATTTCAATTTTGACCCAAATAGTAAATTTTTAGTCTAAAATTATTGCAAGTTTCAAGACAATTTTTTAGCCTTGTTATTTGAATTGCACAGCTCGGAATATTAAGAAAAGAAGTTTATGTATGTTGGACTTTTCTTACCATGGTAGATAACTTGGGTCTTTAAAAAATGATTGCTCAGTTTATAAATGCTCTTTAGAACATATAGTTCTGTCTTAAGAGTAACTGCTTAAACAACGGTATTGTATAGTCTTTCTCATGTCATCACTCCTTTTCTAGGTGTTATTTTCTAAGTTCATGAAACATCGCCTATTACTGGAATTACATTTCAAAATCTTACTTGCAAATGCTGTTCTCTTCCAGGAAATGATGAATGTATACCCACATGCTGGAAAAGAGAAGGTTTATATTGGACACAAATTTCCTTCATTCGTTGCTGACAGATCTTCTGGAGGAGAAAGATAAACAGCAATCTTATGTAAAAAATCCAAATACTTCTTGGTCTTGCATTTAACAATGGCAGAGTTTTTATTCAGAGTTTTTGCTAGAGTTCTATGTTAATATTTAAAAATATAAACAACACAACTAATTCCGAGCTTTTTCTTTATAAGAATCGTTGAGCAAAAGAATTGGGGTAAGAAAAGGATTTTCATTAAAGCGTGTATTTTCATGAACTCTGTCTTAGAAAGCCAGGCTGCTGTTGTACCAACTAAAATTTTCCTTTCCTTTATTTCAATAACTTATCTTTGAAATTTAGCGTCTTCCCATCTATTCATTTTTGTCAGGCTATATCATTCTGTCTTTTGCTTCCCATATGATTTAATTCCTGTATTGAATTACATTCCCTTCAATGTCTTCTTAAATAGCAAAAAGTATGTAATTAAGGCAGTCGTTTTATATTAAATGAAAGAGAATTTGGATAATTTTAAAAATGAAAGTCAGGGCCAGACGCAGTGACTCAGCCTATACTCCCAGTACTTTGGGAGGCCGAGGTGAGAGGATTGCCTGAGCCCCGGGGTTTGAGATCAGCCTGGGCAACTTGGTGAAACCTCATCTCTACAATAAATCACAAAAACCAGCCAGGCGTAGTGGCGTGCATCTGTAGTTCCAGCTACTTGGAAGGCTGGGGCGGAAGGCTCGCCTGAGCCCAGCAGGTCGAGGCCATGGTGGCCATGAGCGTGCCGCCACACTCTGGCCTGGACGACAAGCGTGATGAGACTCCAATTCAAACAAAACAAAACAAACAAACGACAACAACAAAAACAACAACAATGAAAGTCAGAATAATAGCCTGTGGTATCATTCTTATCAAAAACAAAAATTTGAAATGACGATGATTGTTGTCTGGGAATTATTTTACAGACTTTATAAATAGAAAATTCAGAAAAATAAACCTCAAGTTGATATGCACAATTTCTTCAATAGTGGGTTTATTTAGATGCATTCCTAACCACTACTGACATATAGAAAAATATCATATTATTATTATTTAGATTTAAAAATATAGTTTATTTAAAAGTAAATTAGAGAGAGAGAGAGAAGGGTGAGATAAGATTCACCTTCCCAAGGTGGGGGAGGGGATCAAAGCCTGGAAGCCTGGCGACAGCCAGAGCTCAAAGAGCACATGGCCACACCAGAGTCAAGCAAGGCCATGGCCAGTGGCTGCTTGTGGTTGAGTCCTTTTAACCTTTCTCCTTGATGGGGGAAGATCATTAAGGTGATTGGGTGGTGGAAAATATCATTATTAAATTATCGCTTTTATAACTGTCTTACTGATCTAGAATTAATTTAACTTGAAGCTAAATTAGCATCAGATATAATTGGTTGAGGAATTAAAATTTAGCAAGTAAGACAATGGCGCCCCCAAAATATCTCCCAAATAACCTGTTGATAAAGCAAAGCAGAGTTCATTGCATACAGCAGTAAGGGGGATAACTACTCTTATGGAGTCTTGGGAGTCTATGTTCAAGTCCTTTGTCCTTTTTAAAATCGGATTGTTTACTGTAAGAAAGGGATTGGCAGTAGTGGGGAGTGGGGAGCACATACCATCAATAGGGTACCTGATCTTAAACCAAAGGGGGCCAAAGGGAGGCCCAAACTTTACCACTTGCATACCTAATCCTGAATTGTACCCTACATCTTTAAAATACAATTAAAAATAAATAAAAAAAATTGATCGTTTACTATTGTTGGATTTCGAGAGTCCTGTACATATACTGAATATGTGCTCTTTGTTGGATATGGAATTTAAACATACCTTCTCCTAGTGTGTGGCCTTAATAATACCTTTTACAGCACAAAAGTTTTTAATTTTGATGATGTCAAATTTATCAATTTTTAAAAATGGATCATGCTTTTGGTGTCATTTTAAAGAATACGTCACCTAGTCCTAGGTTTGGAATGTTTTTTTCATGGGCAGAAAGGTGAGTTGAAGTCTCACTCTGTCGCCCAGACTGGAGTGCAGTGGCCGCTCCCGGCCACCGCAGCCTCGACCTGCTGGGCTCCGGAGATCCTTCCGCCTCACCCTTCCAAGTAGCTGGAACTACAGGCACACGCTACCACACCCGGCTAATTTTTTAATTTATTGTAGCGATGCGGTCTCTCCAAGTTGCCCGGGTGGGTCTCGAACCCACAGGCTCAGGCAATCCACTCACCTCAGTCTCCCAAGGCGCGGTATTACAGGCTGAGCCATCGAGCTCAGCTTTTCCTATATTTTCTTTCAAGAGTTTTATAATTTTACATCTACAATAGATCATCTATTTTGAAATAATGTTTGTATAAGGTATGAGGCTTAAATTCTTTCTCTTGTATTAATATTTTTAATATTAATGTTAAAGCACCCAGTCTTCTAACACTAAACGTGAAAGAGAGAGGAAAGGAAGGAGAGAGAGGGAGGGAGATCAATCCAATTGATTCCGAAAATATTTTTTGAAAAGTCTTTATCCACAGAATTGTATCTGCTTCTCTGTCAAATATCAATTGTCACATTTTGCAAGCCTACTTCTGGACTGTCTGTTCTGTTTCATGAACCTATATTTTCACCTTTCTGCCCATAAAGTCTCGTCTTGATTACTGTAGCTTTGTAGTAAGTTTTAAAAATGGGATGCCCTCAACTTTTTTTTCCAAGATAATTTTAGCTAATCTAGTTTGTCTTTTCTTTAAAAGCTTAGAATCACCTTGATTTATATTTACCAAAAAGTTTCTTCTGAGATTTTGATTAGAATCGTGCCAAATCCATGGACCAGTTTAAGGGGCATTCATAGCTTTACAATGTTGAGCCTCTATCTATAATCATATATGTCTCTTGATTCCTTTTATCAGCATTTTGAAGTGTTCAGCATAAAGGAAATATATAAATATTTTATATATGCTTTTTAAAATCACTGTAGATAATTTTAAAAAATCGGTTTTCAACTTTTCTGTGCTGCTATACAAAAAAGTGATGGATTTGTGTGTGTAGACTTTGTATCTTACAACTTTGTTCAACTCATTTATGTATTTATATATGTATATGGTTATTTTCTTAATTGCACTGGTTTGAACTTCCAGGAAAATGTTGAATAGGAGTGGAGAGGAAGGACATCATCTCTTTTTTCCTAATCTTAGGAGAAATCATATAATACTCCACCATTAATCATGAGATTAGCTACAGGATTTCTCTAGATGCTCTTTAAAAAGTCAGAGAAATTTCTTTCTGTTGTTAGTTGACTGAGAGCTTTTATCATGAATGGATTTTAAATTTTTTCCTATGATTTTTCAGCAACGTGTGGCCTTTCTTCTTTAGAATCTTGAATTGGTGGGTTACATTGTATGATTTTAAAATATTAAACCAGTTTTGGATTCATAGGGTAAACACTAATTGGCATAGTTTATTACTCTTTTCATGTTTTGCTGGTTTCAATTCACTGCTACTTGATTGAGAATTTCTGTCTCTACATTCATGAGGGATATTTGTCTTTGATTTTTTTTTTTTTTCCACTGTCTGTCTAGTTTTCATGTCAGGGCAATGCTGGTCTCATAAAACAAATTGGAATGCCATTCCTTACTTTTTAGTTTTCTAGGAGATAATATATACAATTGGTATTATTTCTTCACTTAATGTTTAGTAGAACTCACATTTTAAACTACTTTGATCTGGAGATATTTTTTCCAGAAAGTTTTCAAATGCTGATTCAATTTCGTTAGTAGATATAGGACTATTCAGAATGCCTATTTCATCTCAAATGAGTTTTGATAGTTTATACTTTTTGATGGATGGCTCATTTCATTTTCAAGTTGCTTAATTTATATGCATAGAATTGCTTGCAATATTCCCTTAATATCCTTTCAACATCTGTGAAGTTTGTTGTAATATTTCCTTGTTCTTTCTAATATTGATAACCTGTATCTTTTTAAAGTTGTCAACTGTGTTAGAAATGTGTCAGTTTTACTGCTTTTTTTCAAAGAACCAACTTTGATTTTCTCTATTGCTTTTTTGTTTTTAATCTTGTTGCTTTCTGCATTTATTATTATTATTTTCTTCCTTCTGCTTCCTTTGGCTTTTATTTTCTCTTGTTTTTTCTAGTTTATTAAGGTAGGCATTGAGATCATCAGTGTGAGAGCTTGCTTCTCTTCTAAGATATAGATTTCATGCTATGAATTTTTTCATCTTATTAAGAAATTTTATGTATTTATTTATTTTAATTTTTAATTTTAAAGATGTGGGGTACATGCTATAAATTCTAAGCAGTGCTTTAGCCGCATTCCAGAAATGTGGACACATCGTATTTTCATTAATTTCAAAGTCTTCTAATTTCCTTTAAACTACTTCTTTCACCCATGGCTTATTGAGAAGCGTGTTGTTTAATTTCCAAGCACTTAAGATTTTTCAGTTATTTCTTTGGTGCCGATTTTTAATTTGATTCTTTTATTATTTCAATTTAAGTGCAGTAAACATTCATTTATGATCCAAAATATAGTAATTTTGTTGACTGTTCTATGGGCATTTTAGAAGAATGTGCTTTCTCCTATTATGGTTGTAGTGGTTTTTAGAAATCAATTAAATCCAGTTGGCAAATAGTGATGTTTGGTTCTTTTATTTCCTGGATGATTTTCTGCCTATTTGTTCTATATATTACTGAGAGAGGAGTGTTAAAGTGTCCAGCTTTAACTGTAGATCAATCTACTTTTTCTCTTAGTTCTGTCAGTCTTGGTTTCATGTATTCTAAGACTCTTGTTGTTAGATGCATATACTTTTAGTATTGTTTTGTCTTCTTGGTGTACTGATCCTCTTAGCATATATAACTTTTTTGATCTCTGGCTTATTTATTTATTGCTCTGAAGTCTACTTTGATATTAATATAGCTAGTAATACAAATTTTCTTCATTAGTATTTGCATGGCATATATTTTTTCATCTATTACTTTTAATCTACCTATAGCATAATTTTTTTTTTTTTTGAGTCAGAGTCTCACTCTGCCACCCAGGCTGGAATGCAGTGGCACACTCAAGGCTACTGCAGTCTCGACCTGCTGGGCTCAGGTGACCCTTCCACCTCAGTCTTCCAAGCAGCTGGAACTACAAGCACATGCCACCATGCCCGGCTAATTTTTTTATTTATTGTAGTGATGAGGTCCCACCAAGTTTTCCAGGCTGGTCTCAAACCCCCAGACTCAGGCAATTCTCTTGCCTTGGCCTTCCAAAGTGCTGGGATTACAGGCTTGAGCCACCATGCCCAGCTTCAGCATAATATTTGAACTGAGTATGGGCATCATTAGTTACATCATTTAAAAAATTTATTCTAATTATATGTGTCTTAATAGCATATTTTGAATAGCATATTTTGATCATTTATGTTTAATTTAAATATTGGTATTTATTATTTCTACCATTTTTTTCTTGTTTGCTCACTCTCCTTTTTTTTGGTCCTTCTGTGTCTACTTTTTTACTGCATTTTTGTGATCCCTCATTACTTCCTTTAATAGGTAGAAGTGTCAGTAAAAATTTAAATTATTAGAAATTTAAAAATTGTAAGTAGTCATCAGATTTAGGTTGGTAAACAAATTTTAGGTAATTACATTAAATATATAATATTTTTCTAAAACATTTGGTATTCATAAAGTAAAAAAAAATACTCACAAGAGATTCTCCTGAGTCACACATCTTTACCTGAAAAAAGTCATTCAAGAGCAAGTCTATGGGTTTCTCTTTGTAGAACATTAAAAAAAAACGTACAAAATCAGGCAAATCCTCAGATCTAAACAGCTTTCCTAGGAGAAAAGGTAATTAAATTCATATTTAGTTGTTCATTCCATCCATGGGAAACAAGCAAAAAAAAAAAATCAAAATTTAAATGTATCTTATTCCTTAGAAATAAAGATTAAAACACGAATGAAGTTGAAGGATGATAAAGTAAAACAATACCTCCGCTTAAGTATTAGGGAAGAAGAGTACAAACAGGCGTAGAGTAGCTAGTATTCTCAGAAGAGCAACTAACTAATAAAGATTGATTGTCTAAACTGAGAGAGAAAGAAGTTAAAATGGAATTGTAGGGGATGTAATCTCTCAATTTTGTACAAACTGTGATTTTTTTAGCCTATTTTTTTGTAGCACATTATCAATCCACTACATTTTTACCTCTAGTACTCAATTTTTATAAAAACATACTGTATTATTTCAACATTTGAGCATTATTTTATCAGAATGTGATTTTTCTTTTATATTTATGATTCTTAAAAGGTTTACTAAATGTTAAAAGATTATTTCATTAGATCCAATGATTTTTTTTCTAATATATTGCATCTTTAATTTTAAAATGAAGTTGAAGGAATAAGATTCGGGTAAATGTTCACTTCATAGTAAATAATGTAAAATACATCTGGCCGTTTAATAAGCATGATAGTAGGGTGTAAGCATACTTCATTCTTCACTAGGACTTGAGTTTATATGGGCCATGTAATCAAATATATAATTATATTTAAATTTTTTGGCACTCATTTATATAGTAACCAAAGCATGTGATTCAATGATGAAAATAGTTGTTTCAAATCTTAATTTGCCATAAAATTCTGTTTAGCCAGTTCATATTTTGGTAAATAATGAATAATAGAATTATTATTATGATAAAAAATCAAAGTTTCTATGAATTTAAGCTTAAATAAGACTTTGGCACCCCTGAAATAGTGCCCCTTGTTCAATATGCTTTTGTGGTACTCAGAATGTAAATATCCTTTATGCTTCTCGTACCTGGCTTTGCTGAGAAAATTAAATTCTTTGAAAATTAAAAATTTTCAGAGTGATATACCAACAACACGATTTCCTCTCCAGACTTCTCACTGGATACACCTACTACCTATCATTTTTCTTCTCGTCTTAACCAAGACTTTAGTAAAACATTTGGGTCCTTAAAATTTTACAGGAAATTTGGAAAGGAAAGTGAACAAGTAAGTATATGAAAAACAGATGAGCCTCACCAGCCCTCAGAGAAATGCTTTCTACTCCTCAGAATGCCCAAACAATGTGTAAATGCAATACTAATAATAGATAAAAACAAAAGTGGAGCATATGAAGCATGAACTCTTTTTTTTTTTTTTTGAGTTGGAGTCTCACTCTGTTGCCCAGGCTGGAGTGCAGTGGCATGCTGCTCACAATCACCGCAGCCTCGACCTGCTGGGCTCAGGCAATCCTTCCGCCTCAGCCTTCTAGGTAGCTGGAACTATTATTGTAGAGATGAGGTCTCACCAATTTGCCCGGGCTGGTCTTGAACCCGTGGGTAAAGGCAGTACTCTCACCTCAGCTTCCCAAAGTGCTGGGATTATAGGCGTAAACCAGGGCACCCAGCCAGCATAAACTCTTATGGACTGCTTTTGGCAACACAAATTGTACAGCCATTGTGTAAAGAAAGTGGCAATACTTGGAAAGCCAGCAATCCACTCCAGGGGACATCTCTCATCATTTTTGGTTTTGTGGTAGCAAACAATTAAGGTCTACTCCTCAGGGTATGGATGCGTCAAACAGTATTTTATGCAGTGAGAAAAAAACCCCAGCAAACGAAATTAATGTAAAAAACATGTTGAGAGTTTTAAAATCTAGTTTTGAGAACAAAGATGTAAGTAACAGGTATTACTGTATTGTCATTTACTTAAATTTAAAACGTGCAAACATGAGAAACATCAAATATTTTACATGGATATTGTATAAGCATAAATATCTTAATATTGATAAGTATTTTGAGCATATTAGAGTGAAAGCCTATGAGAGGGCAGGAAGTAGGGGAAGAGTCTGAGAATAAAATAAAATGATAAAAAAGGGAGATCTCCTGCATGAATCAATCATGTCAGACACCATGAAGTGAGGAGTAAGACAAATCAACTTGAGTCCTTGAGACTCAAAGTAAAGAAAAAAGGATAGAAGTAAGAAAGAAAAAAATGGAAAGTCTATGGAAGAATTGTAAAAAAAAAAAAAAATTAACATTGTGGGAACAATTTTAGGAACTTTTCTGTGGTGGGTATAACTCATATCATGTTTTCATATTTTTCAAGACTGTCAGCTTTGGTATACTAGAAATTGCAGAGACTTTGTAGTACTGCGTTCAAATTCCTTTCTCTGCAACTTTACTTCTCTGACTTTCTGTATTATTCTATGGGAAGCAGAGAAAAGCACATTTTAGCCGCCGAGCTAACATTTGTGTCAGACTCTAAGCAAGCCTTTAATAAGTGGAAGTTCCTTTGTTTCTGTAATGCATGTGCTTATATGTCAATCTGCTCATTTATATTGTCTACTCAGAAAAAAAAAGTGGTTAAAAAATACATTATCTGAAATCTCAGTATTTGAACCTGATTATACCACTAAAATAATAGTGTCTTTATAAAAATTATGCCATTCCTTTCCATTTAGTAACAAAGTCTTTGATAAATTCTTAAAAACGTTAAAGACTATTGTGTGCTAAAATCAAGATCCAATAAAATAGATGTATTACTTACCTATGAAGCCAAGCATTGAAAACTTAAGGTAAAGCCAATTACTTGAAGTCATATGATGTACAAAATCTGTTATTTTTGTCAAGTACATCTTTTTAGCTATGACATCATCTTCCAGCTGGAAAAAAAAGGCAATAGTACCTTTAACGCCATTAAATCATATTAGCTTGAAGATAAAAAATACAATAGAACATATTAAAGAAAATGTTGTTTAAGAGGTAATCATTTTATTTTTATTTCAATCTACTGAGAGAGAATTTATAGCTAGTGAATTTTCACTTGTTGATTCTGAGATTAACCAGACCAGAGATTATGTTTCTTTTCTAAATAATCTGTAAAAGTCCATCCAAATCCTCTTTGAAAGACTCTCTCATGTAAATGCATTCTCATTCTCACAAAACTTCAGTTCCTAGTTTAAGATTGTCTTAGTCAGTTACAGCTGTTATAACAAAATACCATAGACCGAGTGGTTTATAAACAACAAACATTTATTTCTCACAGTTCTGGAGCCTGGGAAGGCCCAGATCAAGATGCCTGGCAGATCTGTGTCTTCTATGGACTCATTCCTCATAGATGGCCCTGTCTCATCATGGTCACACAAGGTAGGGCTGGGGAACTCTCTGAGCTCTCTTTCATAAGGGCACTCATCCATCACAAGGGCAAAGTCCTCCTAAGGCCCATCTCAAAGGCCCATCTCCAAATATGGCCACCATAGCGGTGAGGATCTCAACAGCATAATTTGGAGAGGGAAGCAAACACTCAGACCACAGCAGAGACTAACTAGCTTTATGCTTGAGGTTTTAGGTGCCATGTTCTGTCTCCAAATACTATAGCTGACAAAGCAGTCCTTGGCAAAGTAAAGACAAAAGGACACTGGGCACTTTTGTCCCAGCTACTCATTCTAACCAGTTGGTTGGAATGGTGGTATAAATAAGCCTAAAAACATCCTCCATGAGACAGAGGGGGACAAAGGAAATGAGAGCTTTCTCTGTTTTTTCACATACATTATGCATAACCCATAGACGAAGACAGTCTCCTAAATGACTCAGAAAAGTGTGGATGTCCTCAGATACATCACCAGGGCATGGAAACTATAGTGTTTCAAACTGAGAATGAGCATTGACTGGATCTCATGTTTCTGTCACATTGCCACTAACTAGAAATCAATAAGAATTTCTTTTTCTTCCAATAAAAGAGAAGACTTGGCTTTAGGGCTTTCTCTAATTTTCTCTCTACTCTTCAATGATATTCTACAGATGCTTCACACAAATGCACACTGTCTATGAAGTGAGGAGCATACTATCGGAAAACACATTATTATTTAACAATATAAAGGAATTTAGGGGTACAAACTACACACAATAGAATCATTTTTGCAAACACAGTAAGCACTGTAGAACTGTGTCACTCATAAAGTATGAGGCAATGTAGAAAAGCAATGATAAATATATACAATGCCTGATAGAAGTGCTCAAAATACATTTGCTTAATCTAATAAAATCGTAGGCAGAGAAACGTAGGCAGTATAATTTCTAATTTTTTGGGGGGGGTGGTCAGAGTCTCACTCTGTCACCCAGGCAGGAGTGCAGTAGCACAATCACAGCTCAGCACTGCCTCGGCCTCCTGAGCTCAGGTGATCCTTCTGTCTCAGCCTCCTGAGTAGCTGGGACAACAGGCACACCACCACACCCAGCTAATTTTTTTTTTACTTTGTAGAGATGAGGCCTCTCTATGTTTCTCAGGCTGGTCTTGAACTCCTGGGCTCAAGCAATCCTCTGTCTCCCATAGTGCTGGGATTACAGGAGTGAGCCATGGTGCCCAGCTGCAATTTCTAAAGTTTTTGCTAATATGAAATTATCTTTTCAGTTTGCTTCAGGTAATTATATTTCTTCTGTAACAGTGAACCTAGCAAGAAGATTAATATATAAACAATTTTAGGCTTTTGTTGGCATTTTGATATAATGAGTGTTTTTGTTTTCTACGTATAAAGTAAGATGGAGGGACACAATAAGGATGAAAAAAATTAAAGAAGGAAGGGAGACTAATAATAATACTTTCAATTTAAATTATCACACACACCCCACAAGTTCTTACCTGTAAATAATACATGGCCTTGGGTTGAGCATACAACATTAAAATGCAAAAATCCAATACTTGTTTGATTCTCCGACTAAAGATGAGCAATAAGATCTGTTAATATTTGTCATTATTATTTAATTTTTATTTATAATCGTACTAGTAATTAAAGAGTAAACTTTTTACATTTTACTAACAGAGTACTGCTACATTAAGTAACACTGAATATTAGTTTATACTAAAGTTTTCCATTTCAACAGACAGTGTCTGCCATTGCTAAACTAGGATAAGCATAATCTACTTATTTTGCATTTCGGTAGTTAATTTTGATCTAGATACTAAAGTTAATATTCTTTCTGATCCTAGGTCTTGTTCAAATGAAAGTATAAAGAAACTTTATTGTAACTTAATACTACACTAGATACTAGGTCAGGTCCTGAAGAAAGAAAAAATAATACACAAGGTCGTTCCTGCCCTTCTGGGTCTCATAACTTAGTATGAAAAGAAAAACAAAATTAATAAAGTTAGAACAATTAGATAAGTGCTATGTGAAGATAACAATGTTTACTATCTTACAGTAAGATTACCAAAGTGTGAGGCCAGGTGCAGTGACTCATACCTGTAATCCCAACACTTTGCGAAGCTGGGGGGTTGGATTATTTGAGCCCAGGAGTTCAAGTCCAGCCTGGGAAACATAGTGAGACCTTGTCTCTACAAAAAATAAAAAAAATTAGCCAGGCATGGTGGCTCATGCCTGTAGTCCCAGCTGCTTGAGAGGAGGGAGCATCACCTGAGCCTGGAGGACCTAGCGTGCAGTGAGCGGTGATCGTGCCACTGCACTCCAGCCTGGGTGACAGAGCGAGACCTTGACTCAAACAAACAAAAACCAATCGTGAGAAGTGAAAGAGGATGCCACTTAGTTTTAAAAACTGATGACGAGAACGTTGGTGGAAGCCAGGTCATGCAGGATCTTTTATGACATGGACTTGATTGCATGTGAAAAAGATTATTCTGGCTACAGTTTGGAGAATGGATTGGCAGAGATCCTAGGCTAGGCTTAGGAAAAAGCAGATAGATCTTTAATGGTGAAGGCCTGCACTAAGGCCAAACACTGGAATGGGGATGAGAAGAATGATATGCAGAGAGATTTAAAAAAAGAAGCAGTGATAAGATACTAAGGGCTGAAGGAAAAACAAGAATCTAAGGATGACTCCTAGTTTTATGACTCTAAAAACTGGGTTTAATATGTGCCACTAGCTAAAGCAAGGCAAAACCCTTAAAAGACTTCCAGATTCTGACATATCATTTAAAATTTTAAAACAATACTAAGCTAATAGGTTCCCAGTATAAGATCTTTTTCTGATTTTTTGATATATCTTCCTCTTTATTGACTTTTGTGGAACAAAATTATTAGATTTCTGTTAACACCTACCATATTTGTTACCAAAGATGATAATCCTTTATGCGTATAGAGCTTTTAATTTTTCAAGATTCTTTCACAAATGTTATATTGTTTTCATAATGACTCTTTCAAATATATAATGTAGATTTCATGAAACACATGAGCAAGTTGGAGAAGCTAAGAAAAAAGGACTAAATTTCTGCCTAGGATGACCAGGAAACAGAAAACTTAGGACTAGAACCCATGTGTAATGAGTTATAATACCAGGCTCCACTCACTTCATTATGCTTTTGCTGATTTTTGTCTACAAACATGAACACTGATCATAAATTGTGGGTTGGCAAGTGTTTAACAAGTGACTCGGGGGTGGAGGGATGGAGATCCCTGATTTGTAGCCCTGGCCCATTTCTGTGGTGTAAATACTTCTATCGTGGCTCGTGCTGCCAACAGGAGTTCACTGAACACAGATCTGGGAAACAATGCACATAGTCAGTTCTTGCAAACTAGTAGAAGCTAGCTCCATAACACCACTGTGCTGGAAATGATGTCTATAGATGTTGACTCCAAGTTTTCATCAAAGTTAGTTATGTAAGGATGCTGTTTTCTAAAATGGCATACCTCTTAAGTTGTGAGTCCTCGGTTGGTTGCTTGACATTTGAGAGGTCTGGATATAAAAAGGCAGGTACTGAAATAACCTCTAAGGATCCAGACTTCACCTGCTTTTTGAATCTATTAACAGAAGTAAATGGAGGCTTACAATTGAATCTTTAATTTACCAAAATGACATAGACACTTGAAAAATTATTTAAAATGTATGATATAAAATCAATTTCCTCTTGTAAAAATTGAAATTTTTAAGTTTACAACCAGATGTGTAATCTGACATCTGAAATACTAGAATGAATGGGTTATGATAGCACAGTAACTGCAAGAGAACAAGAACATTAGATCACTGTTACTTGCATAATTTTGAGTTTCATATGAGTCTTACTGAATAGCAATATGGCTCCTGAAACCAGACTACCACAGAAAGCAAGGTTTAAGTCTGACCATTGTCCACAACTCATTGGAGGAATGGGTATACTTTGTAGCATCTTTATTTTTTTAAAGCTAATATAGGCAGCCAACAAGGACATCTCTAAAATACATAAAATATTGTTCATAAAAATTTTAATGTGAATCCTGTACTATTACAGTAAAGGATGGAAGACCAGGTAGAACATTTTAAAAGGTGATCTTTGAAGATATGTAATATGATTTTATTTATTTTAATTTAGTTTTTGAGTTGGAGTCTCTCTCCTTTGCCCAGGCTGGAGTGCAGTGGCACACACGATCACGGCCGCCCCAACGTTGACCATGCTGGGCTCTGGCAATCTTTCTGCCTCATCCTTCCAAGTAGCCAGAACTATAGATGCGTGCTACCACATCCAGCTAATTTTTTGATTTATTGTAGAGACGAGGTCTCTCCAGGTTGCCCGGGCTGGTCTCAAACCCGCAGGCTCAGGAAATCTACTTGCCTCGGCCTCCAAAAGTTCTGGGATTACAGACTGAGCCACCGAGCCCGGTCATATAATATGATTTTAAATGGGATTTAAATCAGGGCATTACATTATTTATTAAAATGTTAAGGGTTCAAGAAAATGCTTATTTTATACTACATAAAAATTTTAAAAGCAGGACAAAGTTTTATATGCATGATCTCAAGTATATGCAAAATAGGCCAACTCTGCTTTGACTATTTCTGAATGCATGGATTTCAGTTACCATGTTTTAGTTTAATAACACCAGCCTCCGGGAATAACACTGCTCAAATTGTAGTCGCTGTGGTATATTAATTGTGAATAATTGTGTAAATTACAAGCTTCGCTGCTAGCTCCTAATACATAAATCACTACATAAACAGCAGATGCCCATCATCATCAGTGACTCATCAAATTACATCTTTTCAAGACTGTTTGTGATTGGTCACTGTGCATCTTATTCAGTTCACTTGCAGATAGCAAAATGTGTTTCCTCATTTCCCAGTGGCAAACCCAAGTGGCATTTAACAAAAATGGGTAACCAAAAGAGGGAATTGACTGACAGATAAAAGTGCAGAAAGTGACAAGTAGACGTGAACGTGAATATGATTATCCCTTGACAGTTGGTCATGGGACTGTGGATACCTCGCTGTTAGAGAGACTGTAGTTGGGCAACAAAGGGAATTTAGTGAAGGTGAACTCCAGCGACATAAATGAGGAAAATGGTTGTGGTGAGAAGTGTCACACAGAAAGTGACGATAAACTCTCAGATGTGTGTCATGACATTGAAAATACAAACGACAGAATGTTGGATCCTGATCCAAACTTAGAAATATAACAGTTTGCCAAAGCATAAAAGGGATGTTTGTTTGGTATTTTAAGTTGTAAGATAAGAAAATGGCAAGCACCATTTAAAGGACTCTTGATATATTGTCTAAAAGAAAAACACTTTAATGCTCAATATTTTTTTTTTTGAGTTGGAGTCTCACTCAGTCGCCCAGGTTGGAGTGCAGTGGCACACTCACGGCCACCCCAGCGTCGACCTGCTGGGCTCCAGCGATCCTTCCGCCTCAGCCTTTCAAGTAGCCATAACTACAGGTTACAATGCCTGGCTCATTTTGGATTTATTGTAGAACCGAGGTCTTGCCAAGTTGCCTGGGGCTGGTCTCGAACCCGCTGGCTCTGGCAATCCACTCGCCTCGGTCTGCCAAAGTGCTGGGATTACAGACTGTGTCACCGAGCCCAGCCTCAATAATTTTAATGTTTAAATTACAGTATCATTTAGCTTTACAATATTTTAATTTGAATTATCTTTACAATATTTTTCGTGTTTCTATATGTTTACAGTTGGCAGGAAGAGAGTAATGTTTTGAAAAAGATTTAAAGGTCGTGGAACAATTGGGATTTGCCCATGGATTGCTAATGTCACCTCACTTGTTTCAACATGCTCAATTGCCATTATGGCCTTGCACCTCCTTGCAAATCAAGGACTGCCTGAGTATGTGTAAACACACACACACACACACACACACACACACACACACACACACACACACACACGAAAGAAAGCACATGTTTTACAATGGTCAAGTATCATGAGCATGGAGTTGGAGTAGCATATTGTGCTAGAGAAAATGTGGGTTTTAGACCCAAAATAGGCTCCATGATGATGTTGTTTCTTTTACTTACTGACTTTGAGTTAGTAATTTACCTTCTTTGGTCTTCAATGCCTTTATCTTTCAGACTGGGATAGTAATGCATGCCCTTTGGGGAAAGCGCTGTCCAAAATTCTTGCTGGAATTCCTCCCAGGCTCTACGCATTAGTGGAAAGTTCTCAGTTATGTATTTTGGTGGGAGTGTAAGTGGGGAGTGGAGAGGGTCCAAGTCTGGCTGCCCTCTGATTTTATAATGTGTCAGATGGAAAGACTTTTTTAAACTAATTTTCATATGTTCCTTTGGGAGTAGAAAATACTGGTGTGGAAGAAAAGAATAGGGAGTTTGGTTGTTTGCTTTGTGGTAAAAATTAGCAATACAATATCTAAAATTTTTAAGTGAAATTGTATAGCCTTAAACTACAAGACTTTGCACAGAAATTTAGAATAGCAGAGGCAAACATCAAGTTGCCATATCACAATCATCAAAAAGTTTGGATTACAGAAGTTAATGTGTAAATTTTGTCCTCTAGACAATTTCATCCAAAGTTACAAATACTTTCTATCTTGATGATATAATTTCCCATTACCGATGAAGAGAAAGATTCCAATCTTGGTTTAGTCAATCTTTCATAAGTAAGATACCTAAAATGTTGTATGTTGACATCTTTCTAAGCCTCTAAAACTTTTTTAACTTGTTAGGTTATATACAGCATCAGAAGTTTTGGAGATAATTACATGGGCATTGCTAGTTGCCAAAGACTGAAGAAAATAATATAACTGTAGGTTGTTGCCATGACAAACGAATGATCTGATCTTATAGTCATATAAGAGTGGAAACCTTACAACTTTATAGTTTCACATCAAGCACATAGTTGTTAATATATACAGTTTCATATAAAGTTATATACAATCTTAATTGGGTTAAAAATTATCATAAAGCTAAAAATTATCATAAAGTCTCAAATTTAGGGCCAATCCAAAGATAGAACAATTCCTTACCCTAACTTGACCTAGACAAGGGGTGTTTAGCTAAATTAAATACACAAAAGTTTAGATATGTAAATGAAAAAGTTATATGTCTACGTTAACTTAGATACAAATACTTTAATTCCATTTTCAATAACTGTCCTCTAGACAATTCAATAATTTAAATTACTATGCAAATTAATTTAAATTATTGCTTTATTCTACTCTTGCAAAAAATAAAACCATATTCCAACTCTTTATCTGCATTGTAAACATCAATACAATCATCATCGCTAAGATCGCTTGTTGAATCATCTGACATAGTTTTCTAGTTCACTCGATTTTCAATTCTAACTAAAATATAACAGTTTCTAAAAACAGTGACATTGTCTCTGAAAATTTCATAGCAAATCAGAAGTACTGTCATACTTGGGTGACCTTTTTCATTTGTGATCTCCACAAGAAATCACATGCTATAATTTTCAAAGTGCTCTTCAAAAGACTTGCAATTATGCAGTCATATCCCCAGGAATCATTTGTAAACCTCTGCCTTCTTTTTTAATTGATTCTGTCAAGAGTCCTCAATAAGAATACTAAACTAGCCTAGATTGAGGTCATTTCAGGCTAATGTGCCTTCTCCAAATAGTCGTTTATTATTCAGACTAAAGCAACTGAGAGAGTATCCTTGAATATGAGATGGTTTTTTAAGTACTCAAATATGAGGAACCTTTTTTCTCCCCTACGGACTCTTTTAGGAGGAAAATTAAATGTAAGTGTTGTTTTATTTAATCTTGCCAACTTCCTCTCCCTTTACATAAACCATCTACTTCAAACCTTCACTACTCTTGAGTTCCTTTAATGTCAACGCACTCCTCATCTTATTCCCTTCACAGAGAAAAGAGAAAACTTTGAGAAGGAAACTCTTTTCTTACTTTTAGATTGGAAAATAAAGTTTATTTAGAAAGTAACTTAGAGAGAGAGACAGAGAGAGGGAGAGAGAGATAGAAAAAGAAAAAGGGAGAGAGAGGGAGAGAGAGGAGACTCACCTTCCCATGGCAGGGAAGAAGGCCAAAGCCAGGAAATATGGTGACTGTCAGAGCTCAAAGAGCATATGCCACACCAGAGTATAATAAGGCAATGGGCCAAGAAGGAAACTCTTAAGGTGATTTCACCCTTCTTCCCCAAACAGATCCATTTTTCTACTCTTCCTGGCTCCTATCACTCTCTCTGCTACAGCCCTCACCATCTGCATTTTGCATCCAGATGACTCCGGGCCCTGCTCCATCAGCTCCTACCGTCTCTACTAGAGTACATGTAAACACTCAGGGTGTGCCCACCTCAAAACCTCCCTAAACACGATTCTTCTCCCCCAAGATAATGTGTTTTGGCTTTTCTCCCATCAGTTAAGCTTATGGAGAATAGTTTACATTCTAAATTTCTCTAAGTTCTAAACTCTCTAAATTTTATTGTAAAAATTATCAATCATACAAGGGGGGACCTCAAAAAAACAGGAATTATCTTTTGGAGGGCAGGTCCTTTGTATTACAGGCTTCCCCCCCTAGGTAAGTGTTCTAGAAACCCATAAGTTTTTATCAGGGCGTTTTGTGAAGGTTGTGGCACTATTTGTGGAAGAAACCTTCTGAGTTGTGGCAAACAGGTGACTGGTTCTTTCACCATGACAAAATGCACCTGCCCACACCATGCTGAGTGCTCAGCAGTTTTTGACCAAAAAACGGCACATCCCCCATGCCCCGCTCTCCCTATTCACCCGATCTCTCCATGAGCAACATTTTTTTTTGTTTCCTTGAATGAAAAAAGTCCTTGAAGGGAAACGTTCTGCACATGTGGAAGACGCAAAATAAAAAGATGGCAGAAGCACTAAAAGGCATCAACAAGGGCGAGTTCAAAATTCATTTTGAGCAGTGGAAAAAGTTTCTAGAAAAGTGTATTGCATCAAATGGGAGAGTACTTTGAAGGTGACTGAAGTTTAAACCAACCATGTCTGTTAACCAGATTCAGCTTGAAGGCCAAGTTTGCAGCCCTGGTCTACAACATCAAGTGCATAATCCTTAGCATGATATATAGGTCCTTCATGCCGTCATCATGGGCTAGCTAATCTCCATCAACCCTCCTCCTTAACCCCTAACGTTCATATTCCAGAATATACTTAAATATATTTTTTGAGTCAGAGTCTCAATCTGTCGCCTAGACTGAAGTGTAGTGACACGCTCTTGGTCACTGCAGCCTTGACTTGCTGGGCTCAGGTAATCCTTGTGCCTCAGTCTTCCAAGTAGCTGGAACTACAGGCGCACGCAACCACACCTAGCAAATTTTTTGTAGGGCAAGGTCTCACCAAGTTGCCCAGGCTGGTCTTGAACCCCTGGACACAGGCAGTCCTCTCATCTCCACCTCCCAAAGTGCTGAAATTACAGACTTGAGTCACCATGTCTGGCCATAATTATATTTTCAAAAATCCAGCATGCTCCCTTTTTGACCTGTCTTCTCAAGCAATTCCTTTGGCCAAGCATGACCCTTCTCCTCTTGTTAGCCTGAAGAATATCAACTTATGCCATTAGACTCTGCTCAATTATTACCTTCTCAAGAAAGTCCTTCTTGGTATCTGCAGGTAGAGTTGAATACTTCCTTGTCTACACATTCTCATATTGCCTTACCCACACCACCAGGAAAACGCTAGCCTCCTTGCCATTGATTTGTTTTGTACGAGGAGGGACCCAAGAAAACCCAGAATTTATTTATTAAAAATTGTGTATTTATTCTTACATGTTAAACCTTCAGTCAAAATACTTTCTGTTTGATGTGATACACCTATTGAGATGCTTTTTCCACTGTTCAAAACAGTTCTTGAACTCATCAATGTTGATGCCTTTTAGTTACTCTGCCATGTTTTGTTTCACCTTTTCCACATTGGCAAGACGTTTCCCTTTGAGGACTTTTTTCATCTGGGAAACAAAATAATGTTGCTCGGGGAGAGATCTAGTGAATAGGGAGGGTGGGGCTTTGGTTGGTTTTTGGTTAAAAAAACAAAAAGCTGAACACACGGCACAGTGCGGGCAGGTGCACTCATAAATCACCCATCATGAAATGGGCAAATGGGTGTACAGAATCTCCACAAAAAAATTCAATGAAGTTCAACGCAGCCTCTCACAACACGATAGCTGGTACACGGATGCCAATGGGTTCCTGGAAAACTTACCTAGTGGGGGAAGCCTGTACTACAAGAGGCCTGCTCTCCAAAAGACAGTTCCGGTAATTTTTGGGTCCCCCTCATGCAAATTGGATCGCCCACTTGGACATAAGCATGTGGAAAGCTGGGTCCATCCTACAGCATCATGCTTGATCAATAACTTCCAATTGATTCATTGGTGGGTGCCTCCGCTGCTCACAGCTGGAGAAGTTTATTAGCAGAAGTGATGAAGTCATTCCATACCAGTAAAAAATATGAGAATGTTTTAAAAACAATTTAGAAGACCGGGCTTGGTGGCTCAGCCTGTCATCCCAGGACTTTGGGAGGCCCAGGAGGGTGGATTGCCTGAGCCTCCAGGTTTGAGTTTAGCCTGGGCAACTTGGTGAGGCCTCATCTCTACAATTTAAAAAAAAAAAATTAGGTGGGCATGGTATCATGCATCTGTAGTTCTGCCTACTTGGAAGACTGAGGTGGAAGGATCGCTGGAGCCCAGCAGGTCGACGCTGGGGTGGCTGTGAGCATCCTATTGCACTCCAGCCTGGATGAAGGAGTGAGACTTTGACTCAAAACAAACAAACAAACAAACAAACAAAACAAATTAGTAGGCTTCTCTCAGCAGCAATAAATACCATGGAGGATAAATATTATAATAATTATAGCATGAAAAATGTACATACTAATAGGTAGATAACCGGCAAAATTGAGGAAAATCAAAAGCTATACGCTATATGTCACCACTACTTGGAAAGAACTACAGGTTTTTTTCTACACAGCTATACTTACTTTAAAAAAGATGATCACTAAGAATGTGCAGAAAAACAGGAGAGAAAAATATAAAATATAAATATAAATAAATAAAAATATAAAAGCATGGCCAATTGAAAAATTTATCAGACAGTACTTACCTTTTTCTAATCATGTCGACAACAGAATGTATATAATCTTTATCCTAAAATGAGGAAAAAATTATTTTACTGAAACTGAGCATGTTCATAGTTGTATCAATACAATAGTTTTGCTACATGCAAATCTATGCATGGAATGTCTTTATGTCCTAATAATTTCTAATACTTTCACTTTCTATAAAAATAATTTAAAATATCTATGTGTTTAAAATTTTTTACTTGAATACAGAAAATATTTCATTCTTCTCCCTTGCCTCAGTATGAAACACTACTATCCATTATTTACAATTAAAAATAAGTACACAAAACCTTTTGTATCTAAACATATTTCATGACTTCTTTCAAAGAATTACTCTTTTTGAAAACTACTCTTCATTATGAGCATTATATAGGAATATGCTTACTTTAAAGTTACACCATATTTTTCCAGACAGGATTACTCTGTTTCATTACCAATTTTTTTTTCAGCCAATAAACTTTGTGGACCTGCTCTTTATTGAATGGCATGTTAGATTAGATGACAGACTCATTTTAAAAAGAATGTGTTCAAGGTGTACCCTCTCTGGATGATTAAAAAAAAAAAAATAATGGTATTTACAAGATGTGGCCTCAAGGGCTCATACGTATTTTCAATATAAAATTCTAAAACTATTTTATACAATGACAGTTCTATGGTTAGATAAGAGTACACTGATACTTGAGGTTCTTCAGATAACCATAAGTTGAATCATCTTAAGATAACCATAAGTTGAATGACTAGCTATTTGTCACACTCTGAAACATATTATATTTTAAACATAAGCACTAAAGTTATTCTTCTTAAGCATTTATTTTTAACATTTCCCCCAATACTTTATTATTAGTATAAATATTTAAGGCAGATGCACATTGCACCAACAGCAAGGGAATAAAAGATGTTAACATGCAAAATAAAAGAAATAAAGGTTGTAACATGTAAAGTTAAAAATAAAATATGTAATATGCAAAATTATATATTATAGGAAATAGGATAAAACATTTTAGAGAAAACGTTTGCTTTCTTTTAACATTAAGAAATTAAACTGGGATAGAGTGACTACTTAATCTTTCATTTCTATTTTCTAATGATTATATTATTATGGAAAGTTCCAACAAAGAATAAAACGGGGAAGAGACCTCTAATTCTCAGCAATCAGAGATAGCCATTATTTATAGGTTGGACACCATCATTCCAAGGTTTGCTCTTTCTTTTTTTTTCTTACACATTTTATTTATCTATATGTCTTTGCCCCTTCCTTTCCTTTTTTCTACTTTACAGAGATACAAGTGTGATACAATATGATGCTTTACAACTTAGTTCACTCAACAATATGTCATGAACATCATTTTATATCAGTGAATATAAATATTCATTCTCCTTTTAATGCCTACAGAGTATTGCATTTCAGAGATATAAAATAATGCATTTGATAAGCCTCTTTCAGATAGATATTTTGGTTGTTTCCAATATTATTCTTTCATAAAGCAAAAGTGCATGAAACTCTTGAAATGATTATTCAACACTTACTCTGGGCCATGCATCATTCTAAGTCCTTTAAATATATAAGTTAATTTCATCCCCAAACAACCCTATGACATAGGCAATATTATCACCACAACTTCATAGATAAGAAAAGTCAGGCATGGAGAAGTTTAATAGGTTGTCCAAGTCAAAAGTCAGAAAGTAGAGAAGCTGACATTTGAACCATGGTAGATCCAGAATCTGTTCTCAACTTCCATTCTATGCCATCCTATTTTTATTGTTTTTAAACACTTGTCTGATAATTTTCTTGAGGTGAGTCCCCAGAATTTGGATTTTTATACAAAGGATATATTTATTTAAAATTTGACACATGATGCCAAATTTCTCTCCACGGTACTTACACAGTACTTTAGAGTTTTAAATGATGTTGGAAGCAACATAGAAATCTTTAAAGCTATTAGGGAGACCTAGATTTGAATCTGATCTATTAATTACTGGGCAATTATATTTTTAAAACTCTAATTCCTTCATCTGAAAAATCAGGATATTAGTACCTACTTTACAGAGATGCAGTGGTTAAAAATAATGTTTGTAAAACTCATCCACAATCCTTCATATATAAGAAGGAGTCCCTTGACTAATGGTATTGTTACTTAATATTTTCCCTTGATTCATATACTGACTTTTTATTGGGCTGGGCACATTTTATTACTATGGCATGATTTTTTTTTTAAAGAGACAGGGTCTCACTCTGTCATCCAGACTGCAGTGGTGCAGTCATGGCTCATTGCATCCTTGTCCTCCTGGCCTCAAGCAATCCTCCTACCTCAGTCTCCTAGGCAACTGGGACTGCAACTGGGACTACTGTCATGAACCACCACGCTTGACTAATTTAAGAATATATATATTTTATAGAGATGGGGGGGGTCTCGCTATATTCCCTAAGCTGGTCTTGAAATCCTGGCTCAAGCAGTCCTCCTACCTTGGTCTCTCAAAGTGCTGGGATTGCAGGTGTGAGCCACTGTGCCCAGCCTATACCATCCATTTCAATGTTTTGTTTGTAAATACAATTTCTGAACCATACAGTATGCAGGGATTCTATACTAAATGCAATTCAAATTTACCTGCCTTATATCTCCCATAAAGGACAACATAAACCATCATGTCGCTTTTTTAGATTTGCATATTTAATTCCTTTTCAGTGTGGTACCAAACAAGTATTAAATACATTGTCTGCTATCCTAAAAAGGAATCTATGGATTGCATTTTTAAATTTAAGCACAAAGTTTTCAAGATGGTACAGTGATTATCATTGACTTTGGAGACCACAGGGTGACAGAAAGGAGAGCTCTCCATTTTTCATACATACATCTGCAATAGAGACAATCACCACAGAGTCCTTCTCTTCTGAAAGCGTCATCCTGGAGACAACAGAGGTCAGTGTTTGCTTCAGGTAACTATGATTTCCTCTGTTAACAGTGGAAATACCCAGTGCAAAAGAAACTGTAGACACAGGAATATGAGATCATCATTTCAAACTGCAGAGAAAAGTATAACTTAGACTTCATTCTACGCTTAGTTCTATGTTTGGGTTTCTTTTTTTTTTTTTTTTGACTTGGAGTCTCACTCTGTCGCCCAGACTGGAGTGCAGTGGCCGCTTCCGGCGCCCGGCTGATTTTTTGGTTTATTGTAGAGATGAGGTCTTGCTGCCCAGGCGGGTCTCGAACCCGCGTGCTCAGGCAATCCACTCACCTCAGCCTCCCAAAGGCGCGGGATTACAGGCTGAGCCACCGAGCCTGGCTGTTTGAGTTTCTTATGCTCATAAACAGAGTGTTTGAAACTGTATTACAAAAATACCCACACTATGTTCATTTTTACCACACACTTCATTTTCTGTTTGAGGAAATTCCAGTTTGCGGTAGATTGTTAGTAAATGCATTAAAATAGACTTCAAAATGTTCTCATGTTAAAGGATTTCAGTGCAGTGAAAAGAAAACTAGCCTCTTTCCACTTATTACAGTTTTCACCTAACTGGGTACAAAATGTTGCATAGTGGTTGATGCTCTACTCTTCTTCCTGAAGAGACACTGGAACCCCAAACAGGAAAATTACCAAGGAATATTTTCTTCTATAAAAAGGTATATGAAGTAACTTAAATGACTGATGGAATGAATCCATACCCCTAAGTGGCTTTGATTTTCCAGTAACGACTGTATTACTAGGGAGAATGGGTGCCATGTTATCCTAGATAGACACTGAGATTTTACCAGAAAAGTCTGCCCAAACTAAATCTTGGCTGTACCAGTCCCTGGTTTACGAGGTTAGGCAAGATACACAACCTCTCCGGTCTCAATTTTCCCACCTTTACAAAGGGGATAAGGACTTCCAGAATGCCTAAGTGGGAAACTCAGAAAATTCTCTCCCTAAAAGGTAGTAACGAAAATGAAAAAATAAAAGTCCCAACAGTCATTTCAGGGTCTTGGTAGATAACAAACTTACAAATGTCTATTTAAGAAAATTGATTAAACTTCGCTAAGAACAGTAGGAATCAGTATTTCCTTCATTAACTATTGAGTTTGAGGATATTTTCATGTTTCTCGGCTTTTGGATATTCTCTTTTGTGAAACTCCTGTCTAAGTTCTTGCCCATTTTGCTATTGAGTTGTCTGTATTTTTCTTATTAATTTTACCGACTCTCTTTAAATACTCTGAATACGAGAACCTTGTGAGTTATAAGTGTTACAAATATCATCTCCCACTCTGGGTTCCCGTTTCAATGTTTTGCCTCTTGATGAATAGAAATTCTTAGTTTTAATCTAGTGCAATTTATCAATCATTTTCTTTATAGTTCATGCGTTTTGAGTGCTGTTGAGGAATCTTTGCTTATCTTCAGGTCATCTCCTGAGTTGCCATCTAGATGATTTGTTTGCCTTTCAGATCTACAATCCACCTGGAATTGACTTTCATAGATGGTGTGGGGCAGAAGTCAAGTTTCAAGCTGAAGAATCCACTCTCCATGAAATTCCTGGAATAGATTCTTATGCCTTGGGATGCATTTATTAAAGTTTAAAAGGTCCTTCATGACCTGTCAACTTCGCCCTTTTCTCAAATTGACCAAATACCACAGTCTCAACCGCAGGCCTTTGCACACGCAATTGCTTTTTGCCTAGAACACTCTTCTTTCTCTGGTTCCCTTTGATAATTCTACTCATCGCTCAGGGTTCACCTAAACAGTCATCTTGACCACAAACACACACTTGACTTTTTCTAGTTAGGCTGGGTGCATCCACTGTGTATTCTTACAGCATGTCAAGTCTCACAGAGTGCTTGTCACCCTGTTTGTTATTTCTCATACCTAGTAGCATGTCAGTTTGGTGAGACCAGACACTGCTTGTCTCCTGCTCACCTGTAGAAATCCAGCACAAATATAGTGGCTGACACATTGGAAGGCCAATAAATGAATGCCTAAACCCTTCATTATCTGGCCTCTGTCCCTGGTCTGGCTATGGGTAGCCTCCAGCCCCAACTGTGCACACAAGTCTCACAGTCTTTCTAGGACTTCTTGCCATCTTCTGCGTTTCCACTATTGCCCACCCACCTGTTCCCTCCTCGGCCTATTCCAATTTTTTTTACTCTTCTTGTCACATACATGGCACTTCCCCTAGAAATGGCCCCTAATTTCCCTGGAATAAGATTTTGAGACCACCATCGTATTCACCTTAGTGCAGTACCAGTCACTTCATACTATTATTACCTAGGTGGGTGGGGGATCTCTGTCCTGTTCACCACTATAATCCCATGACCTAACAAGTTCCCAGAACAGAGTTGAAGCTTGATAAAGGAGGGGACAAGAAAGACTTCATCAACAAAGTTGTCATTAAAGCTGAAAAGTCAGACTGGATAAGGGAGTCACATGACAAATCAGCTGTGGGTCGCCAGGGGTTGGTGTGTTCATTATAGGCGTTGATCTCATGGAAAAATACATGGAGAGCTCAATGAGCTTGGACTGTTTTTGAGAACTGAAGGTGGTTTGGAGTGGCTGGAAAGAAGAGGAGAGGTGGAAGTTGAGATATGAAAGATGTAGCCTCTCTACAGCTGTCCCACCCTGGACACACCCGATCTTATCTGAAAGATATAGCCTATTGTGCATATACCCTGCCAAGGAGCTAACATCATTCTATGTGCCCTGAGGATCTATTGATCTATTGATCTACTAAGTAAGAGTCAAGCATGATCAGTTATAAATTTCAGTAACATACCTCTGAGGAAAGTATGAAGAATGGATGGACTTTAGTAACACTAAAGCCATGAGAAAAATTTCAAGTCTATTTTAGCAGACCGGGCAAGAAATGATGAGCTGCTCTGTCAGACATAGTTAGGGGAGACTACAGAGAGCAGAAATTATTTTGAGATATACTCAGAATAAAGAGCAAATAAGACTGATGATGGGTTCCCCAGTAGCCATATCCCAGGCTTCAAACCTTCTGCATACAAGGTCTGATAATTAAGTTCACGAACTTGCCACTGTGTGCTTAGGTTGGCAGTACTGTACAAACAACTTGGTAAGGTTTCATGACCTTGGTTTATCAGTGTCGCACAGTTGTGTTCATGTTGATGTGTGGTGGTGTTCTGCTGAGTGGAGTTCATTATTGCTGTTGCATGTTTTTGTGTGCCACCACAAGAATGTCAGAGCTTGAATTAGAGTAAAGAACAAACATTAAATTTCTTGTTAGACCTGGCAAGAGTGGAAGTGAAATCAGGAACATGTTAGTTTAAGTTTATGAGAATAATGCCATGAAGAAAATTGCAGTGTACAAATGGATTAAACATTTTTCTGAGGGGAGAGAAAGCTTCACTGATGAAGAGAGGTCAGGATGGCCAGTTACAAGCAGAACTGATGAAAATATCACAAAAATTCGTCAAAGTGTGCGTCAAAATCACCAGCTTTTGGAAGCATTGCAGACCAAATAAACATCTATAGAGAAACAGGAAAATCTTGGCATGTGAAAGGTGTGTGCAAAAAATGGTCCCAAAGGAACTCTTGCATCACCACAGTGCACCAGCTCACACAGCACCATTTGTGAGAGAGTTTTTAGCCAGCAAACAAATAACTGTATTAGAACACCCTCCCTATTCACCTGATCTGACCCCCATGACTTTTTTCTTTACCTAAAGATAAAGGAAATATTGAAAAAAGACATTTTGATGGCATTCAGGACATCAAGGGTAATACAACGATAGCTCTGATGGTCATTACAGAAAAAGAGCTCCAAAATTGCTTGGACCAGTGGCCTAGCACTGATATTGGTGCATAGCTGCCCAAAGGCTTCAAAGGTAACTGTAGTGATATTCAGCAATGAAGTATATAGCACTTTTTCTGGGATGAGTTCACAAACTCAGATAAATTTTAATTTAAACCACATATGTTTTAGGTGTTAGAATTTTTTGTGGCTGGGATCAAAATCTTCTTTAAATTGCCTCTGGCAATTGAGAGAAGTCACCAAAGTAACCTCAGAAAACTAATAAATTTATTATATTAATAATAAATTTATTATTATATTAATTATAATAAATATGATTTATTTAAAATAAATATTATTATTAAAAATAATAATAAAGTGTAAAATAATAAACTGTTATTATTTATCATTATTTTTGAGTCGGAGTCTCACTCTGTTGCCCAGGCAGGAGTGCGGTGGCATGCTCACGGCCACTGCAGCCTTGACCTGCTGGACTCAGGTGATTCTTCTGCCTCAGCCTTCCAAGTAGCTGGAACTACCACATCCAGCTAATTTTTTGATTTATTGTAGAGATGAGGTCTCAACAAGTTGCCCAGTCTCGAACCCCTGAGCTCAGGCAATCCTCTCGCCTTGGCCTCCCAAAGTGCTGGGATTACAGGCTTGAGCCACTGCGCCCAGTCTAGAAAAAGGATACATTTATACATCATGATTGGAGATCAGGTAATAGTTGGGGAATTAGAAAAGTGTTCAGGATTAAACACAGTACTCATTACTGGTTATCTCAACACGCTCAATCCTCTCATAGAGAGGCCTGTTGCTCATCCCAACCCCTGACATCCCTCTCCCCCCTTCCTTTTACTCTGTGCCATGGGCTTTCACTTATATTTGCCGATGCTTATCCAAGGTTATGCTTATTGGTGGTATCTGCTCTCTTATCGTTTCAATGTATTAATTTTTTCCTTTGTCTTTCAGCTTCTCCTCTTCCTGCAAACTATAACTTTTGTCTAGCATAAACTCTGTCATGCTTGCATTCATACACACATAAATGCCTGTATATGGATATATTTACATCCACATTCAAAATACTCCTAAGAGGAAATACAGTGCAACTGAGGAGTTTTCAAGTGTGAACTCAAAAACTTCCTCAATCTCTCTAAGCCTCAATCTTCTCAGGTATTAAATAGAAATGTCAATAATAGGTCTTACTGACTTGAGTTGTGAGGATTAAATGAGATAATGAAAGAAAACATGGAACGTAGTGGAATAAAATAAGAATGCAGTAGATGTTAAACAATGTCGCCTGGCCTTTCCATCCAACACAGTAGGCTTGGATGATATGTCAGAGGCACGTGACACAGAATGACACTACTTCTTCCTGAGGAAGTGTCTAGAGCAGGGGTCGGCAAACTTTTTTCTGTGAAGGGTCAGATAGTAAATGGTATGATATGGCTCTTGGGCCATATCATCTCTGCTACAACTACTCAACTCTGCCATTGTAGCATAAAAGCAGATGTAGACCTAAAGTAGATGAATAAGCATGGCTATATGCCAACAAAACTGTATGTAAAAACAGGCAGCCCAAGGGCCTGGCTGAGAGTGACCCATTCACTGGAATGAGTGAGGTTTATGGGAATGGAAGATAATTCTGAAACTTGGCTTAATATCCTTGCTTCAACTTCCACAGCCTTTTCTTGTCTTGCATACTCAGTGAACTTGAACTCATTCCTCAAGGTTTAGCTCAAACATCACCTCTTCTGTAAAGCTTTTGCTAACCTTGGTCCCCAGAAAGATGGAAAAATAGGAAGATATGCAGGTAGGAATAGATTTATAAAAACCAAGGGAAAAAGATTTTCCAAGCACTTAGCAGATGCTTAATGTATATTTTACTTATATTGATTTATTTTCAAAGAATGTGTATTAAGATTAAATTTGAATTCAAGTCACCAAATATTTATGGAACTATTATTTTCTTCCAGACAATATACTGACTCCTGGTCAACCAAACTAATGCCAGATAGGCTGGTAGTCTACACATCAATCTGAGTATAATATGAACGGGTTATATTTTAAAACGTAAAAGTATGTCCCCAATGATGAAAACATTTGTATTTAATTTCCCAGTTCTAAGTTTTCTTACCGCCTGTTTTCCCTTTGCCAATGATTACATCAGGATAAACTCTGCCCTCTTTCCTTAGGTGAGGTAAAAAGAACTTTAAGGCTTCAAATGTATTATATACTGTTTCATTCTTACTCAACGTATCTGGTTTCCTCTGAACTGAAAGAGAGAAAACAACAGTGTTTCTGAGTTTATGCTACAGGGATTTTTTTCCTCTGGAATAATTTTTTTAAAATGAGGGTTAATAACTCACAGATTAATTCAGTATTCAAAATACAAGATACATACTCTTAAATATGAACTATCAAAATCATAATGTGCAAAAATATAACTCAAATATTATTGATTCATATTTATTTTAAAAGCAATATTTAGTTTAAACCTAGTACCATGAGCTATACAACCAGAAGACAATGGAACTGTCAGTTCTGAATGGAGGAGGAATAAATGAAACGTGCTATAATTGGTGTCCTCTGCTACCTTGATTAATATTCCTTCATTAAAGTTTGCATCTTGATAACTTTGTTTTGTAGCCGCTTAACATTTAATCACCATGTTGGTACTATCCATTAGAATTTGCCTCTACAGGCCGGGTGGTGGCTCAGCCTGTATTCCCAGTGCTTTGGGAGCCCCAGGTGAGTGGATTGCCTGAGCCCGCGGTTTCCAGACCCACCTGGGTAACTTGGCAAGACCTCATCTCTAAAATAAATCAAAAAATTAGCTGGGCATGGTAGCGTGCACCTGTAGTTCCAGCTACTTGGAAGGCTGAGGTGGAAGGATCGCGGAGCCCAGCAGGTCAAGGCTGTGGTGGCTGGGAGTGTGCCACTGTGCTCCAGTCTGGGTGACTGAGACTCCAACTCAAAAAAAAAAGAATTTACCTCTACAATTTTGAAAAAGAAAAAGTTGGAGAACTCATTCTACCCAATTTTAATTAATAATACATAGCAGCAATAAAACAGTGTGATGTCACATAAAAAACAGATACACAGACCATTGGAACACACTACAGAATACAGAAATAGATTAAAAATCTATTTCAAATATGGTTAACTTGTGATAAAGTTGCAAGGGCAATTGACACAGAAAATATGGTTGATAAATGGTACTGTAACACTTGGACATTCATGTGAAAACAAATGGAACTTGACCGGTTCCTCATGTTATTTATAAAAATTAACTCAAAGAATTTCATAGACATAATTGTAAAACATAAGATTGTGAAAAAATTTAAAAAGAGAACCTTCATGACACTGAGCTAGGTACAGCACTCTCAGGTATAACAATATTTAAAGCAACAATATATAAAAGAAAAATTGAGAAATTGGACTTCATCAAAAATTAAAAATGCTTGCCCTTTGAAGAACATCATAAAGAGAATGAATAAACAAGTCACAGACTGGAGGGAAATATTTCCAAATTGCGTATTGATCCACTACGTATCCAGGATAAATCATAAAACTCTCAGAAATCAACAAGAAAACAAGCCACTCAATCCAAAAATGGGCAAAAAATTTGAACAGACATTTTACCAAAGAAGATATTCAGATGGCAAAACAGCACATAAAAATGTTCAATATCATTAGTCACTAGAGAAATCTAACTTAAAATTGTGAGATAACAAGACACCGAATGACTGTCAGAAACTGGAGTGACTGCAGCCCTCATGCATTGCTGCAGGGAATGGAAATTGGCACAGCCACTCTGGAAAACAACTGGGCAATTTCTTACAAAGTTAAGCATACATTTACTGTATGCCCTATCCATCCTACTCAAAGGTATTAATCCTAAAAAACTGAAAACTTCTCTTCAGACAAAAAACAGGAACATGAATGCTTATAGTAGCATCTATCTGTAATGGCCAAAAACTGAAAAGAACCCAAATGGCCCCTCAGCTGGTGAGAGGATAAACACACTGTGTGTCTATTCATTGTCCATCCATACGGCGGACGCTTACTTGTCAGCAATAAAAAGGGAACAAACAATTGGTCACATACAGCTTGGATGTATCTGTGCTAAGGGATAGGAGTCTCTGAGGTCTCTGAGAGTCACACACTGTATGATTCCATTTGTATGGCATTCTGGAACAGGCACAGACCATAGGAACAGAGAAGTGACCAGTGGTTGTCAAGGGTTAAGAGTAAGGGGAGAATTAGAGTACAAAGTAGAAGAGCTAGACAGGTCTTTTTATCCTGGAGAAATGGGGGAGACCCCTGAGGGTTTATAAATAGAAATAGGTAGTCTGCACAATGTAGCTCCAGGAAGAATAAACAGGTAGGGACAAGACTGGAGAAAAGAGGAAAACGTTTGCATGCTACTAGCCATTCAGAGGAGGTCTGAAGGTGGCCTGAACTAGTGCAGCAGAGATGGTGATGGAAAATGTGGACAGATGTGTGAGAATGGCAGGATGAAGGATGGACGGGATGGCTTATTACTGACACAGGAGTAAGCAAGAGTGAGAGGGAGGGGTCAGAGGGGATGCCCAAGTTTCTGGCTATTGGATGGATTGTGGATTGCGGAGCAACTCACAGAGATGGAAGACCACTTTCAAGGTAAACATGAGGGGAAGTATTTCAGTGATGACTCTTACCTAATTTTTATATATGTCACCCCCCCCAAAAAAAACAGTATCAATTTAGTTATGTTTACAGGAGAGAATACCCTAAAATCAGAAGGCATTGAATCTAAATTTTCCAAAACAAAACATAAAACAAACAAACCACCATACACAAAGACAAAAGTAAAACAAACCCAAGTTTTCTGCTACGTTTGCTCTCTGTGCAATTTCATGCCTTATTTGGGTCAAGATTGTTATCAGCTTTTGGCGATTATTTTCAGCTTTGTTTTTCAAATGTCGCATATTTTCCTTAAACTCCAAAACATGGCTTTGACAATTAATTAACTGATTACCTGCAAAGAAAGCACATATGTGCATCTTTATACATGTGGTGGTGGCATCACACAATTTTTGTAATCGATAACAAAAATGTAAAAACATATGCTTCAGTATAATTATATATAGAGCACTATATATGTGTACTCTATGCATACATATACGTTTATATACAGTGCTATGTAAATATAGTATAGATATTACATATGTAAATATCTAGCTACCTATCTCTGGAAAGAAAGAACAAAATGTTAAAAATAGCAATATGTGCAAGGGGGGATTATCAATCCCAACACTTTGGGAGACCAAGGTAGGAGAATCACTTGAGCCCAGGAATATAAGACCAGCCTGGGCACTATAGTGAGATCCTCCCTCTACAAAAAAATAACAACAACCAAATTTAGCTGGCATGGTGGCACACACCTGTAGTTCCAGCTACTGAGGAGGCTGAGGTGGGGGAACTGCTTAAGCCCAAGAGGTCAAGGCTTCAGTAAGTCATGATTTAGCCACTGCACTCCAGCCTGGGTGACAGAGCAAGAACCTGTCTCTAAGGATGAGAGGGGGGAGAGAGAGAGAGAGAGAGAGAGAGAGAGAGAGAGAGAGAGAGAGAGAGAGAGAGAAGAAACACACACAGAGAGAACTGGATAAATTTCCTGGGCACATACAATCTAATAGTGAATTATGAAGAAACAGTAAATTGACCAGACCAATAACAAGGAAGGAGATTGAATCAGTAATAAAGTTTTACATTAAAGAAAAGTCCAGGACCTGATAGCTTCACTGCTGAATTCTGCCAGGCATTTAAAGAAGAACTAATACCAGTCCTTCTCAAACTCTCCCCCCAAATTGAAGAGGGAATACCTCCAAACTCATTTTATAAAACAAGGTCAGCATTACCTTCATACCAAAGTCAGACAAGGGCACTACAAAGGAAAAAATAAATAAATAAAGACACAGGCCAATATCTCTGTTGAACATAGATGCAAAGATCCTTTACAAAGTACTAACATACTGAGTTCAACAGCACATAAAAAGGATCATTAACAGAATCAAGTGGTATTTATCCCAAGGATGCAAGGATGATTCAAGATATGCAATCTATAAATGTGATACACCATGTTAATATAATGAAGAAAAAAACCCCATACAATCGCCTCAATAGAGGCAGAAAAAGCATTTCACAAAATCTAACATTTTTTCATGATTAAAAAAAAACTTTCAACAAGGTAAGTATAGAAGAAATGTGCCTAAACATTTTAAAGGCCATATATGACAAACCCACAGTTAACATCATACCCAATGGTGAAAAATTGAAAGCTTTTTCTTTAACAACACAAAGGAGGAGAAAGGTACAAAGATGGAAATAAAAATGTAACAATGTTAGATTTAAATAGGAAGAACACACAATGTCTAGTTGTTATTGTGCTGGTTATTTACAGTTCAAGAAATATAGGTTCTGGTTTGTAGTAAATGATTACTGGTCACAAACTCTTCTTCCGAGGGGTTGTTAATGGTTTCCTGCCTTCCAAAGGAGAACGGGCTGAGTGACAGGGCAAGACAAAATAGAGTCCTCTAGGAAGCCCAGTGGGAGAGATTCAGTTGGGGATCTTAAGGGATCACACACACACACACACACACACACACACACACACACACACACACACACACATGCACACAAAAAGAGTAGTAGAGAGGTAGAGAGAGAATTGTTCCCTTTGGTTCATCTAGTATGGCCCTCTTCTCTCTAAACCCTTCTCTCTCTTTCCTTCATGCCTTCTCCTGGCAGTAAGCCAAGACTTTGAAGACACCTCTACCTACTTAAGCCTCTATGCGTAGAAGGTTGTCACAAACATTCATAGCCCTAATACACATGTTCCATTTTCAGCAGTAGAATTTTCAGTTGCGTATACGGCAACCCAACTAAAGATTATATTGATCAATGCAATTTGAGTAGAAGTTGTTATGTGCACCATGTAGATCTGGCTCTTAGAGGCAAGGGGCAAAGCTTTCTCTTCCTCCTTTTATCCATTCCTCTGGTGTAATACAGGTGTGAGAGACCCATCCTGTATCACACAGATGAAGACAATGCCCTAGAGATGGAGAGAAACAAATAGGAAAGAACCAAAGCCTTTAACAGGTTTAGGGAGGAGAATCTCCATATCAGCCTGCTATCTCATTTAAACCATTGTTGTTTTGTATAGCTATTGCCATGAACATATCTGAACTTGCACGCTAACTGATACAAAGGAAGTAGACTATGGCCCAAAGAAAATGAGAGCACAAAACAGCTTTTTAAAAACATTTTTTAGCCGGGCTCGGTGGCTCTGCCTGTAGTCCCGAGCCTTGGGAGGCCGAGGTGAATGGATTGCCTGAGCCCGCGGGTTCGAGACCTGCCTGGGCAACTTGGTGAGACCTCATCTTTACAATAAATCAAAAAACGAGCCGGGCGTGGTAGCGTGCACCTGTAGCTCCAGTATAAAATATATATATTTTAAGAGATGGGGTCTCACTATGTTGCCTAGGCTTGTCTTGAATTCCTAGCCTCAAGTGATCCTCCCACTTTGGCCTCCCAAAGTGCTGGGATTGCAGGCATGAGCCCGGTCTACAAAGCAGCTTCTAAACTTGCTTGCTTTATTAAAATATTTAGATATCTGATTAGAGAAGCAATACATAGGTTAAACATTTAGAAAAAAGTCCAATTTAATCCTACCACTTGATGATAACCACTATTAATGTTTTGCTTCACATGGTTCTAGACTTTCGCTTTCTTTTTTTCTCATTTTATTATTAAAATGTTAAATAAAGTGGTTCCTTTTATACCAAAAGAAAGTATAAGCTATGATGAAAGCAAAATAATTCTTTATGTTAGCTTGTCAAATATCAAAATATATCACAAAAATGATCAGAGATATAAGAATATGGAAAAATTATATTTTAGTTAACAGGGAAAGCAGAGAAATTGGCTTCTGGATTGGGTGGAATGCAAAACAAATGAGCAGCTTGGAAGACAATAAATTCCAGTGAGCTTTTTTTTTTTTTTAAATGAATGTTGATGGTTTTTAAATTTTATTTTAAAGATGTGGTCAATTCAGAGTTAGGTATATAAATGTTCATTTCGCAGGTACCCTTGCTGATGAGGTGTGCCCTCCCG